ATATTCCTTATGATAGTGCTTAGCTTTTTCATAGATAAGCTTCCTCCTTGCCTTTCGAAGAATCTTTTGAGCAAACTTCTTTCTCAGGCACTTGATTTTCAGCTCTGCAAAATTCCTTCACTTTTTCTTAAGGGTTTCTGGCACAGCAGGAACCTTTTTCTTGGTGGCTTCTGCCACAGCAGGAGCCTTTTTCTTGGTTTCTGCCATAGCAGGAACCTTCTTTTTCTTCTCTTGAATGCCCCCCATGGTTCTAGCTGGAAAAGAGCCCTGCCCTTCTTTTTAGAATATGTTCTCCTTCTTTTTAGAATTTATCAGGATGTCAGCCTGCTGGTGAGGTTCAGGGACCATGGGAGAGATGGAAATTTTTTTTTTAATTTTTATTTATTTATTTTTATTTATTTATTTATATTCATTCACTGTACATCATTATAGCATACAAAATGAGATTTTTCCATTCACAGTACAGCACATCAACATATGTGTTATTGTCAACACATAATTTTCCATTTCTTGTTTTCTGTATATTTTGCCTTTTTTCCCATCCTTGATTCCCTATCTCACCCTCTGCCATCTCCCACCCTCCTCCCACATTGTGTCTGGTATCTATTGTTGCTTTCTATGCCTCCCCCATTTTATTGTTTCACTAAATATCTTAATAAATCTAAATATTTTCAATAGCAAGCACAGCTGAAATATACATATCCATGAACACAAGTCTGACTTTAGGCATAAACCTCAGTGAATAGAATGAACATACTATAAAGTAGCACCTACCTAGGGCTATAGATTGGAATTTGATGAGGGCAACACAAGTGCAAATGGTGTAGTTTTGTAAGTTTCTCTTACATTTGTTACATTGCTACTTCATTCATGCCATTTTTGTTGAAAATTCTACTTCCTTTTTTAGAAATGCTTTAGGAATAACTCTCTACCTTTCAGGAAAAGGAGGCTGAGATTATTCAGAGCTGTCTGATGACTGGTATGTGCTGATACAAAGAAGAGGAAATTAGACTTTTTAATCACCATTTTCTTTGTTTATCATACTAGGAAGCTTTGTTCTCTTTCCAAGTTCACAAGCCTGTGTGCCAGCCTCTGAGGACAGAGGGGCCATACTCACTCATCACAGATTTCAGTGAATCAACTTGCAGTATGAGAGAGAGACCAAAACAGCTATGGGGAAGGGGATAATTAGAGGAAAATGCTAGGAACAGAAAGACTTCCTATTAAATTATGTTCTTCTGTAGAATATTGTATGTCTAAATTAATATCACAGTTAGCTAACAACAGCATATAACATCTACCTGAAGCCCACTCTCATGTACATTCAATACTTATCAGTTGACTGTGCTGTACCAGAAACTTCCAGTGTGGTACTCTACCTCCCTAGCAGTGTAAACCATTTACCCCAGTGCTCCAGTGAAGATCCAGTGACACCTTGGGAACCAGCAGTTAGCGTAATGGCTATGTTGCTGGACTCCCATATAGTTGAACGCGGTTTGCGTCCTGGACCCGGTGGCTTAAAACTCACGCCAGGCATGTGTGCGTGCATGCCCAAGATCCCCAGAGGAGAATGGAGGAGAAGGGATTGCGGCGTGACCATCCCCCACTAGGGGGTGATTTCTTGCTTTCTGTCTCTAATGTCTCTCTCTGTCTGGCAAGCGCACGTGCCCTATAGCAAAAATCTCTCCGAAAAAAAAAAAATTTAAAGGTCCAGTGACACCTTCACCTTTACCCAGGCTAACAGCTCAAAAGGATGAGGATCCCCTCACTTATGCAGATGTCTAGAAATTAAAATCCCATAATATCTTACAGGAACACATGCCCTCATGGAGAGCATAGAACATGTTCATTATTTACCATGCCCAATTTTCTGTGGCTCTACCCAAGAGTCAATCTCTACATTTCAAAATTAAACTAATTTGGTTTCTGTTCCTGAGAAAGGAAAAAGAAGATCCTTCAGCATAGTCTTTGATGTATAAATCATTACAAATAATCTATCCTTTGAACCAGTCTGTAGTGTGGTGGCTAGGTTGACTGGATCCCACATGGCCAACTGCATAGTTCGAGTCTAGGACCCAGCTACTTGAAAAACATACCAGGCACATGTGTATGCCCCAAATTCCAAAGGAATGGAAAAATGGAGAAAAAGGGATTGTGGCATGATTATTCTCCAGGGGGCACTTTATCACTTACTCTGTCTGCCTGGCAAGTGGATGTTCTCTCTGGCAATTTTTTTTTAAGGTTTCTGCCATAGGGTGCTTGTACTCACTGGGGAGGAAAGAGAAGTAGTGATAGGGAAAGTGAGAAATCACACCTCAAGGGCTGGCCACACCACAATCCCTTCTCCTCCATTTCCTCCTGGGATTTTTGGCATGTACGCACATGTACCCAGCATGATTTTCAAGCCTCCAGGTCCAGGATTCAAACCATGGTCAGTCATGTGGGAGTCCAGTGCTTAACCACTATGCTACCTAATGGCCTATCTGGCAAAATTTTTTTAAAAAGAATCTATTTTTCATCATTGTATAACTTGGTTTTGGCCCCAGTGGCTGACAGAGTAGGAGAACAATGAAGATTTTTTAAATAAATGACTGGCTGTTTAAAAGTCCTTAAACTATATTCATGGTTGAATTAAAATAATTCTGGAGAAGGTTTTTTTTTTTGTTTGTTTGTTTGT